AGCATTCAAATTTATCAAAAAAGTCGCGAAAATTTCATATTACATCACATTATTCTTGCATTACTGGTAATGCCAAATCGAATGCCCCACTTTTCTTAGGTCGTCGCAGTGGAAAAAGTAATGCATTATCGAATGCGAAAACGGCTGTTTTACTGTTTTTTTTCTTTCGATCACAATCCATTACGTTTTCCCACTGGGTTGTTTAGTTCTATGCATGTCTGTCTTTATTTATGTGTGTGTTTATGTGCTTGGTGACATTCGCTTATTTGGCTTATTTCTTTAATTAGGCTACAGGNAGCATTCAAATTTATCAAAAAAGTCGCGAAAATTTCATATTACATCACATTATTCTTGCATTACTGGTAATGCCAAATCGAATGCCCCACTTTTCTTAGGTCGTCGCAGTGGAAAAAGTAATGCATTATCGAATGCGAAAACGGCTGTTTTACTGTTTTTTTTCTTTCGATCACAATCCATTACGTTTTCCCACTGGGTTGTTTAGTTCTATGCATGTCTGTCTATATTTATGTGTGTGTTTATGTGCTTGGTGACATTCGCTTATTTGGCTTATTTCTTTAATTAGGCTACAGGTAATTTATTTTAATTTCGTAATTACATACAAAGGTTTACAGCACATTCTCTTTAATTCACTTTTCATGTCATTTTACAACAATTAATTTCGCAAAAAACTAATTTTAAGCCTTGTTTTTTTTTGCTATTTAAGACATTTTAATTTTATATTAATTTATTTTATTTTACGTTAAATTTATCTCTATCTACATGTAGTTTATACTAATTTTAAGTTGGTTTTCAGTCAGCGTTTACCGATTCATCATTATTTTTCACTTGGGTCTAATTGAAATTGTGTTTAGTTATCCCGAGTTTTGTACACATTTATTAAAAAAAAGGTGACACACTCTGTTACATACATGCATATACTAGGCTTAGATGTCCTTAGCTGACTCACCTTCTGGTAGCGGGATCTGCAGCGGGAATTAATGGTCCCGGTTAAACGGGGCACAACTTGCTTTATTCCTCTTTGCCACTGATCAAAATAAACCGTATTCGATGCGGAACTTTCCCTTGCACTTCTTTTCACTTAAAAGACACTTTCCCATTTGAATCTTCCTGTTAGCCGACCAAGCGATCGTGCCCCGGTGCATTTGCGTGTGGAACATTTCTCAAACTTTCACTCAGATCTACGCATACAAACACATAATTCAAATCTACACCTTAGCATATGCACCTACACACACGCACACGTACGCACAGAGTCATTCCTGGCAGTGCGCCTTCTCACACATGTTGCGCAACATGTTTGGGTACATCGTTGAGGTACAAATGGGCATTTGTGTGGGGGGATATTTGAGTGGGGATATTTTTTGCAGCAGTTACTTGCCACCGATTACATAGGCTGTCGTTACAGTATGTATGTGGGTTTATGAATAAGGACCGCTTAAAATCGATCTCAAATTTGTACTTTCTCTGTAGAAATTTTAGGTCTATGTTATGTAGTTTGACTATTGTCAATTAAATCTAATGCTTTGTATTGCATGCGCTCCACATTTTTCGTTTTCAATCTCATCAATTATTTATAATGACTTTTGCTAAAATTTTAAAATCAAAAGTTATCAAAACAAATTCTATGGGACTGAGATATATTATTTTCTAATTTTTGTCCATTTATTTGATATATTAAAAAGTTTTTTTTTTTATTTCATTTATTTTCTTCATTTAGTTCTTGATTTATGATAAATTATCTCATTTCTATTTAATTTATTGACGGATTTTACAACGCGAAATTACTTGACTTCAGCATGATTTGCTTATAAATTATAAATGAACCGTAAATTACGATAATGTGAACATGATTTTTTAACTCCAACTTCGAAATTGTGTGGCAAATACTTAAAAAAATGCCCTGAAAAATTGAGCCCGGTAAAAGCGAACACTTTTAAGTATATGTACATATATAGTTGCGTTCGCCAAACAATCCGCTTACCCAAACTGTTCGCTTCGCCAAATTTATTCGCTTAGCAAGTGATAATACCACCCATAATGTGCTCGACCAAAGCGTGCAAACATTTCCCGTTTAAAATACACGTAAACTTAGATTTTTTTCTTTAAAATTCTACAGCTCAGAGGCATTTTATGGCATAATCTTGGTCAAAGATAGGGTTCCTTCAGAATTGAATGCTCTTCAAAAGTGTCCATTGCGGCGTAACTAAACCCAGCTACAGAAGAAATGTAAATAGCAAACTTGTAGGAAATCAATTTCTACATATTTCTTGAGATATTGGGCTTTGCAATTGATAAAAAATTTCTACAATTAAGCTCAATAGTCCATGATAATTCCACACTACCCAATCTTCAAAGCCCAATTTCTCAAGAAATATCGATGTTAGCGACTTGGTTTGGAAAAGCTTTGTATGGAGGAAAATGTGTAAAACCGTCAGAAAAATAATTTGTTACACATTATTACACTAAAATTGAATGGGCTATAAAACTGCGTACTTAAAAGCTCTGATTGAAAAGTTTAAAATTGTGATGAAATTGAATTTTCCTTAATTTTGTATAAAGCTTGAAACCTTGGTTTATATAATTTTGTGTTAAGCATAATCCATATTTTTATAAAAAAAATAACAAAAAAGCTTCCAATATATTATGAATATTTAAAAAAGGAATGGTGTATGCAGACTTTTGGTGTTAAGTGTACATACTATATAGTGTTTACTAAATATTTATCTACTATTCGCAAGATGAAGAAATGAAAACTATTAATTAGGTTTTTCTCTTGCGAAAACTTTGTACGTATTTGAATTAAACTTACCTATAAATAATACGGGGGTAGAAACCAAGTCTTGTTACAATCCATACAATAGTAAATACCGCAAATATAAAATCACATAGCTTTTGATATTTCGCATATTTTGTCAATTTCGCTGCCTGAAAATATATATATAAAAATTATTAAATGTAGTGCCAGAACTATTAGTTACAATTACATACTAAATCATATTTACACAAGTTAGGACAGTACTGTTTTCGGCTATGCCTGTCATGAACATCAATACATTTTTCTTCATCTATTACTGCATTTTAAAGTTTTTTGGGAGCTAACAAAATTGTTCGCAGAGAGAATTTTTCGCAATGTATGCAAAGTTTTTTATTATAATTTCTTTTCGCTGATTTTTTATAAAAATTTAGTTCATGCAAAAACAAAAATGAAATTTCTAAACCTTGTGCAAAGCTCAGGAAAATGCAATAAATGCATCTTTCTAATCAGAAAAATCCTAATTACGAAGCAAAATTATTGGCACAGAGAATTTTTCGCAATGTATGCAAAGTTTTTTATTATATTTTTTTCGCTGACTTTTTATATAAATTTAGTTCATGCAAAAACAAAAATCAAATTTCTAAACCTTGTGCAAAACTCTGGTCAATTCAATAAATTTGCAACTTTCTAAACAGAAAAAATCTAAGTACTTATGCAGTTTTATAGCCTATTCAATTTTAGCACAACAAAGTGCAAGTTTAAAGTTGCAAAAAATAGCATTAATTTTTGGATTTTTTTTTGCAGCCGGGATTATTTTCTTCCAAACAAAAGAAAAAAATAAATTGTCGAACATGCTTTGTATGGAAGAAACTGCGTGAATATCGTGATTAGAAAGTTGCAAATTAGTATGCAAATGTATTGAATTTTCCTCAGTTTTCCACAAAGTTTAGAGATGTCATTTTTATGTTTTTTTTTTGTTGTAGTGTGAACTATATTTTTATAAAAAGTTAACGAGAGAAATATGAATAAAAAACTTTGCATACATTGCGAAAAATTCTCTGTGTCAATACTTTGTTCGTCGCTGTACATAGATAGAGGAATTATATAACAATAACTCATAACTGAACAATCGGTGGTATGGAAGATATACCATATAAAGCACCGATCTAAATGATTTTCGCAGTAGGTCTTGTATGATCCATAATTAAATAGCTCAAACAATTTCATGATTTTAGCTGCATACGTATTTTGAAAACTGAGGAACAAGATTGCTCGACGCTCTGATCATTTTGCTTTGTTCTTTCGTGGGTCTATCTCTTCTTCTTCTGATACATACGAGTATGGGACCAAAGTTATAATACCAGTTCGTTGTCACTGAAGGTATAAAAATCGTATATAATATATCTGTCACAACGTTTAATGCGCAAAATTCCTTCATGCATACATGAAAGCTTACAATGCGATGGCATACATATGTATGTAAAAATTATGATAAATATTTACAGTGACTGCTTGAATCGACATAATTAAACAGGAATCTAATTCGAAGCTTTTGCAGTGGGAGCTGACCGAAGTCAAGTTTTATTCATTATTTCGTTAATCGAACTTTTGTATTTTATAACTCGATAAGATCTAAGTCTTGTCAAACCCTGGATTCGCTTCGCTGTGAATATACCAGTTATAATTTTCTTTTCAGATTTAGTCGCATGATTTTAACTTATTAGTTTTCTCCTTTACTTGAAACCAAAATGTATTCAACAAAGTGTGATTGATTTTGACATTGCTCTCATACGAAACAGGCTATAATGTCAAATTGAAATGAATTGGTAACCCATTTGAAAATGTGTTTTTTTCAAATTTGATAAAAGTCAGGACACGAAAATAGTGCGATGTTTTAAACCACCTAGTTGCGAATTAAGACGGCAGCGATGGGAAGAAAGCTGTGGTGTTGTACTACGTGATTCATCTCGCGTTTGTGTAAACCACTTCAAGGAAAGTGATTTCATTAGTTGTCCGTCCAAATCAAGCACTTTCAAACGAGCTCGTATATACCTAGGCGCAGTCCCAATGCCATACGAAATAACTGATACAAGTGAGGATTTAGTACACGATCAGGATACATTCTTTGTTGAGCCCAAACTCAAACAGACGACTCTTTAGAATGCACGTTGTGAACAGAAATATTTCGGCTTACCGAAATAATTAAAACCATGCAAGCAAGTATGGAAGAGCTTAAATTAAAACCGCTCGAAACAAAGTATTTAATGGAAAACTATTTCGCATGAAAAAAAATTTAATTTCAAAATTGTTAGAGTTAAGCTCAAATATATAATTGGAAACAAATGTAAAAGCATACTTTTATAAGTGTCGAATAATGTTTAGGATAAAAAATTTAAATATAAAAATAAACGCACCAAAGCATAAAACTTGGGCAATTAAAAACAAGAAAATTGCTAAAACGATTTTATAAACAATTTGTTTTATTTTTTTGACAAAATATATGTAATGTAAGTAAAACAAAACTATAATCGAAATAAAGGCCTAGGGCATCAGTGCTGACAAGATACATGCATCACTAAGGGTTAATTCGTTTGTTTATACTTTTTGACATTATAGTACCTTAAAAGAGAGCCGCACTGAGTTGTCAATCACACCTTGTTTAATACACCTTGCTTGAAACTGAGGGTAGTTACATACATACCTTAATTCACGAAGGCCGTAACCAAAATTTTTTTTTATTTTACAGGAGAAGCAGAAAACATTATAAAAAGAATATCAAAAACAGGTAGGACATTTTAACAAGTGGCATGTAACCCCGTTGTTTTTGGTACTAAAACTTTAAAATTTTTATTGAATGTATATTTTAATATATCCCACCAAAATCTGTGAAAAACGCAGTTTCGAAAATAGTGTTGGTTAGGGCCTTGTGAATTAAGGTAACAATATATTTAAAATGATTTATGATCGAAAAATTCCTTGCTTTTGATACCCTTAATATTTAATTAGTTCATATATTTTGAAAAAAAGTCATTCAGAAATTTAATTTTAAAGTCAACATATTCTAAGCGTCGCACAGTGGTTGCATTTATATGGGGACAGCGGGCAAAAATACTTTTAATGGACATATCGGGATAAAATTTTTACCCTAAGGTCTGTTAAGAGTAAAAACTGTAATATGTAAAAGTGGGCGGGGTTGGACACGCCCACATACAGTCATGTGAAAAATAATAGGGACACGACATTGCGACCAGTTCCGGCTATTTTTTTTTTTGTTTGTTTAATGTTTATTTTTTATAAAAATACAACTCACTATCTAACAAAAACCACATAAGTCCAAATTTCAAACTTTGTAAAAAAGTGGAAAAGTTCAACAAAATTTTAAAACACCACAAACCTTTAGAAACTTTTGGAAAAAATATGTGTGCAGTTTTATAGCCCATTAAATTCTAGCTGAAGAAATTGCAAGTTTAAAGTGGCTAAAAATTTGCGTTGATTGTTGTTATTTGTTTTTTTTT